TTCCAGATCCTGTAAACCATTCAGCTTTTCTTCATGATCACACTTCTACAGTTAGCTTTAAAATAGCAGTATCATTCTGTCCTCTCTCCATAAAATAATGACTTCCCTCAGTATCCATCATCAGATTTAAAGCCTTTTGATAGGGGTTCAGAAGACTTGGAGGACATCAAATGTGTCTAGAGATGGAATAGTGTTGGCTTGCTATCTTCTTCTTAGTGACCTTCCCAGGAAGCAGAGGTTATAGTCTTGGAGGTAACAGCTGGGGCCATTAATCCCCAGTGACAGGTTTTTGAGTAGTGGCCAGACTGTAGGACATTATTCAACAGTTAGTATCTACATGCCCTTCCTGGGAGGTAGTAATGAATCCTGACAGTAAAGGGCTAAGGCATTTCCTTACCAACACTTGTGAGTCTACTTCATGAGCCTCCATAGGGAAGTCTACCAGGATGTTGCAGCCCTGCGTGTGGCTAAGATTCATTCTGAGGGATGACACGGGTGCCTATGGATGCACTCTGCTTTGGTGGCCAATTATTAGTTGAAATAATCTGCAGTGTTTCCTCATAGAAGCAGCATTCTTGTATTCACGTAATACTAATCTGCAGCTTTGTTACTAAAGGAGTTCCTCACAGATAGTTGTGGGGCTATACTTGCGTGGCCATACTTGTGTGGCCATAGGTAGTCTAGCATGACACAAGCAAACTGCAGTCTTTGTCAAGAGTGTATGTGTCTTCTGTGGCCAAGTGACAGGACCACAGCATGTGCAGCATATCGGGTGAACACTTTTCGTCTCAGTGGTGGCTTCGTACCTTCTCTGTACCTATCATATCTTAGTCTGGCCTTGTCTCAGTCGCTTTGGATTGTGCAGAGATGCTCCATCATACCAGCTTGGTCAATGAAGGGTGTTTCTGAAAGATCCATCTGGATCTTTTGTCTTTCCCATACAGCATCTCCTAAAAATTTCAAAATCATAGAATCACAGAATCATAGAATAGTTAGGGTTGGAAAGGACCTTAAGATCATCAAGTTCCAACCCCTCTGCCATGGGCAGGGACACCTCGCTCTAAACCGTATCAACCGAAGCCTCGTCCAACCTGGCCTTGAACACTGCCAGGGATGGAGAATTCACAACCTCCTTGGGCAGCCTATTCCAGTGCTTCACTACCCTAACAGGAAAGAATTTCCTCTTTATATCCAATCTAAACTGCTCCTGTTGAAACCCTCCTGTTACTTTGTTTTTATGATCTGTGCCTTTCTCTCCACCTTAGCAGTTATTAGTAGGACAGTTACCCACCATAAAATGTTCAGAGTTTTATTCCCTGTACTAAAAAAAGTCTCCTTTCACTTAAAGCTCTTTTTCTTGCTGGTGTAATTCCATTAACTTTGTCAAAGTTCGCTTTTGAGTCTGGCTGGCGTGGTTTAAGCGGAACCCAGGACACTGGATAATATATTTCACCTGTCTTTTGAAAAGTTTGTTTGTAAATGCACCTTAACTTGGAGAAAAGAGAGGTTCTGGGGTTACAGGTATAATCCTTTCCTAAATCACCCTATTTTACCATGGGTTTGGAACCATAGTCCAGTGAATAGAGACTCACACAACATGTATTGTATTCAGGGTTTCATGTGAATTAGCTCCACAGTCTAGAGCAAGTCATTTACTTTGTTTTGCTTTGTTTTCACTAAATGTAAAATATGATTATAGCTGAAAATCAGTTAAGTATTATTATTGGAGTTATTATTATATACAAGAGTTAAGTATTATTATTGGCCAAACAGTATATCAATCTGTAATCTACCATTTCCTATCAAGGAGGAGAGGACGCTGTCTCAGACTGGTTTTGGTTCATTCCCTTTTGTAAATTCAAGTCAGCCTATCAACATCAATTTGACTTTGCTTTCACAGTTTATGCTTAAAGCCATCCCTTAGCAAACATCTTGCTTTTCAGATACCTTAAGCCTACTGCAAACAAACAAATCATGGAAATTAAATAGTAATAATGCTGTTGTTAGCTTTGTATAATAAATTTTATCCACTATTTAAGTGGCAATTATTTCCAGAAACTTGGCATTCTAGCCATACAAATGATGACATTTATTCCAGATACAGCCCATCTTTCTTTGGAAGGGGAATACCAGTAGTGTTTGAAAAGTGGATTATTAAGAACTTTGGTTTGCTCAAAGAGGCACATATGTTCTATTTCCTAACACAGCATCTTTCTGGGAGAAGGTAAGTACAGCTTTTTGCTAGCCCAGATTACTTTTTCCACAAGTCTTTGGATCAGGAAATCAAAAACAGCTAATAGTTGTGGGGCATGTGGAATTAGTTTAAGTAAAGCCAAACCCTGATCCTTCTGACCACCTCCTCCTTCCTCTGTTTTGTCTATTCCTGCCTCAAAGTATGTCACCTAATTTTCTTTAAACTCAGAAGGTACAGGGGAGTAGGTGGATATAATGATTCTTTCTCTGTCTCCTTCTGTCTTTGAGGTTTTTGTAGGGTTCTTTTGGGGAATGATTTAAAACAGATGTATTTTAAAAAAAAATATTATTAGTTTGTCTTGTAAAATATTTGTAAAGAAAACCAGTATCAGGATGTCTGATTGTAATCCCAGTTGAGTTCTGGAGATGTCACAAAGAGAGCTGGTTTCATCAAGTGACATAGCTCTTTTTTCACACATGTTAATTACAAATCAAGATAACTTTACAGAAAGGGCAAAATCTGTTAAGTGAAAATGAAGGGGCAAAGTGTATAGTATTTGAAAAGTAGAAAAATACCTGTGCTTTCTGTATGGTTTATTGTTCACTTCTGCCATATGAGAAAAACAGTTTATTTTCATGTTTCTCCAGTACTGGAACAATGTGTTTTACATGAAGGAATAGAACATGTATCTCTTTCAAATGAAATATGCTGGATATATGCTGCACCTCTTTAGAAGCTGTATACCTGAGGACAATAATGATGTCATTCCAAGGCTTCAAGCATGTAATAAATATTAAGGAAATAACTTCATAAATTATCCAGTGTTCCTGTGCAGCACTGGATGGAGTTGATATCAAATGTTGTGGTTATGGTCATCCTCAAAAAAAACCACAAAAATATTTCTTATGGTATGAATAAGTATCAGTCTTAATGTAGAACATAAGCTCTTTCATGTTGCCTGAGAAACTGGTGTTTTTTTCTGAGTCTGAAGTGTTTGGGGTCTTAAATTATAATCAGTCATTAGAAGTAGTTCTGCCATCTCTGTCTGTTTCATGATTGTGTATTTTAGCCTATGTTCTGTAGCTAAACACTTCCAACATTTTCACAAGAAATCTTGACAATGTAGTTGCAGAACCAGTGTTGCTGAAGTAACTTTAGCTGATTAAACACTAAATGATGTTTTTCTCAGCCAATCTGGTTTATTAAGATGGCAAAAATGGCAATGATATAAGTGAACCAATACACTAATTAAGCATCAGAAGAAGAAAATAAAAATGAAATGCAACATATGCTAATTTCTTGGGTGCTGGACTTTGGGGTCAGTTACAGAGACTGTTGTGTGGTTTGTGATGGCAAAATGTTGAACAACTTTTTTATCAAGTATTTTGCTAATCTTGAAATATTTATTTTTCCATTTCTTATTTTGAGAAAATACTGATCATATTCAAACTAGATGCAGTAATATAACATCAATCCATTGGAAATGTTGAACATAAATTTTTGACACACGTGGAATCTGATAAAATGGAGAGAAATTGTCATTTTTTTTCCAGGTGATGCTTCATTTTAATCCCAAGTAACACAATGTTTTGTTGAGAGTGCTGTTGGCTCTGTGTGGATTTGATGCTACAGCCTTTATAAGCTTAGAAATAGAATCGCTTTCTGAGGAAAAATGAACAGGTCGTCAGAGCAGGACAAAGCCCAGTTGAGGAATAGTCCATGGAGTACATTGATGAACCCAGGCAGCAGATTGCTGGGTTCTTCCAAGGTGCAAAGTCTGCTTGAGTTGGTGGAAAGTAGGACAAAGACCTCAGAAAACGTCTTAATGAGGGTGGTTCCTGCTTTTGAGAGACAAATGTCATTCTATTTATGAAAAAAAACTCTCAGAAAGTCTTTATAAATTTAACAAAAATGAAGTTACGGTTAGACTTTTACATTAACATACATCGATGGCTTTGTAAATTAAAAGCCAATAGTGTATAGAATACCTGAGTAAGTAAGGAGATAATTACTTCCTACTATGAAACCTCCCCTGCATTTTTTATTTTCTCCATGGCCGAAGTGTTATATGCTTTTGCAGCATGGGCTGAGGTAACCAAATTGTAAAGGCAGTTGGAGTTTCATCTCCGATGTATTTCCTGCACAGTGGCACTTGAATATTAGAAAGAAAAAAATGAGAGAGAAGAAAGCAAGTATGCTCAACAGCCTAGCAGAAAGGTAGAACAAATGATGATGGGGACACAGAATGGAGCCAAAGGGGATCATCCCTGTAAGAGCTGGGGTGTTTCTGGTTTCTCACTCAGTGCCTCCCACAAGGAGTGTACATCCTGTTCCTGCTCCGGCAGGGGGATTGGACTAGATGATCTTTTGAGGTCCCTTCCAATCTCTAACATACTGTGATACTGTGATACTGTGATCTTCCTGGTGCGTATAGCAGCACAAGGACCAGCATTTTGACAAAGTGCTCCCATTCCATCTTCTGTCTCTTACCACTTGAAAGGGTGCACAACACAGGGGGTTTGCGCCTTCAACATGTTCATAAGCCAGGCACCTGGCTTATTGAAATATGTGTTTAGAAACTAATGCAGTGACAAACAAAATTGTGTGGTGTTCAGCATGTACTCTATCATACTTACTGTAAATACACACAAATACACAAGAAAACTATTTCTGATAACCAGGTTTTACAAATTACTTGTAGATGAATATGTAGGATGTGCACTTTTGAAACTTAACTGATGGGTGTGCAGTCCTTTTCCTACAGTCAAAAATTTTTTTATTCAACTAGTTTTATTTTTTTCTCTAGGACAGTGAAAAAAAAGGATTTATGAATAGACTTTATGCCATCCAAGAGGTGTGTATCAGTGTCCAGAATATCCTTGATGAAGTGGCTTCCTTCGGAGAAAGAATCAAGAAGTAAGTGCTGACACAGGTGCCATATTGCTCTCCAAAGCTAATCATGTTGTTTTCCAGCTGAAGTACCAAGTGTACCTTTAGTACACTTTAGTACCTTTAGACCTTTGCTCCTTTTTATGTTGTGGGGAACTCCAATTTTTGATGATACGTTGTTAGAAGTAATCTATGTTTCCTTTCCTTTATGGACCTCTATTAATGAAAATCCTGTCATATTAATTTTGTAACTTATAAATGCAGAAATTGGGGGGAACAAAATTATAAAGAAGGCTTTGAAGTAAAACAGAAATTTGCTGTGAGACCTAACAGTAGTTATTTAAAAGTAATAATAAATAATGCAGCTTTGATAAAGGAAATAAGAAGAGCTGAATAGGGATTTCAGATTTTAAGGATGTACCTTTTCTTCTAGAGTATTTGTAATTCGTAACACTTCATACTGGATATATAAGAATTGCCAATAAATTTAGGCCTTAAGCAGGATTGGTTCTGAGATTTACCACAGGAAGTTTGCTGTAGTTTTGTCATGGACAGTGAACAGGAGTGTAACATTTGTTACTGGAGATCAGAAGGGGTCCAGAAAGATGTCTTCCAGCCATCATCTGTGACGCTGGCTTTCTGCGGCTCAAAAGCCAAGAGTGTCTCATCCTCAGTGGGTGAGATAGGAGAAGCATGCTCACAACAACCTGTCCACTGCAAGTAGAGGGGGCAGATAGAGAGTTGAGCAGGGACCCATGCTGAGTTAGAAAACCTCCACAAGAGGCTTTGCTGTAAAGCTTTCACTGGTGCACGCAGCACATCTTACAGGAGAGTTAAAGCTATATGCTGCCTTCTTCTGGGTGAGACCTAGCAGTGTGAGGCACCTGTCTCATTCACTGCTGGTGCCATCTGCAGCACACTGGTGTCTCACACCTCTGAGACCATAGCCTGTGGAAGGGGTATGGCCCCCAGATAAGTTCCAACTTCTGGAAGTGAGTTTTAGAAACTTGATGGACGAAGGTCAGCCTATAGGAAACATGAGGATCATCTGTCTTGCTGTTCTGCCTAATTTTTTTCCTTCCAAATCTACCAACAATGGCAAGCATATCAGGATTCAAGAGGAGGTTGCTGTTTTTTGTGTTTAAGTCCCTAATTGGAAAGCCTGGGAAGCATTCCCATGAGGACACTTCCAGACAGCTGTGTTCACAGCAGCACAGGCAGGTGCAAGCACATTATATTGCATGACTTTTCCAGGCAAGTAAAATGAGCCTGCCCCTGAAATAAGTCTTTTATCAAAAGGCTGTTCATGGAAGTTGTCTTGATAATTAAGTTTTTCTAATTGTGCATTTTGGAAGTAGGTCCTGTTCTATTATATACCAGATGAGAGCAACAGAATTTGCTAAACTGAGTGAAACCAAATCTTCCTATAAATCTTTGTAATTTGTTCCTAAAACTATAATGGGAAACCTGTACTGAGTGCTGTGCTAACACAGCACATAAGGAGGCTTGCTAAGTGAGGAGCCAGTATTCCCACACATGGCGTGTCTGTGATCCATTGCACAAAGCCGAGTCACAGGAACATGAGCAGACCCTCAACCTTCTGTTCATCCCAAATGCATGCAGAAGAGGGGAAAAGAGCAGGTGTCCCCTGAGGAGAAAGGGAGTGATCCTGCACCAAGTGACACTAACATAATGTTCACTCTGGAGGCATGTCAAAATTGCCAGGGAGAAAAGAAGACAAATAAACACAGGAAGCCAGAGCTCATTATGAAAAATATGGCTAGCAATTCAGATAATTGCAGTTATTCAGCCAGAGAAGCCAAAATAATGTAATCACACTGATTGGGGATGTAGCTAGTGATAATACTTTAAAGAGTATCATCAGACTACTTACAGCCAAAGCCACATTTTCCTTCTGGATAAATGTCATGCAACACTTTTGACATGGTGGTGCCTTCATGGAACAGTCCCATTGAGCCAAGCTCCCTTTAACCAGTGTTCCTGTGGGACGTATATATAAATTGGCCATCTGGCCTCCCTCTCCTTCTGTACACAGAGGTTGGAGAGCCACAGTGTGGCTCTTTCAAGATTCCTCAGCTTTCAGTTCCTCTCTGTCACACCTCAGACTCTGTAGAGTGAGGTGATCACAGTGTAGATATTGGGAACCTTGATGAGGATGTTTTTTTCTGGGGTTTTCTTGGAAAGGCAGTGTCCTGAAATTCTGATGGGATCCCAGAAGTTCTTCTCCTTTATCCATAAAGAAATAATACTTCTTTTATTTTATCTAGCAGATAAAGTTTTTCTTTGCAGTGTACATTATCCTATTCCACTCCCTCCTTTTTTCCATCTTCTGTCATTTTTCTCCATTGTTTTTTTTCCCCACTCAAAGTTGTTCTATTTCCTTCCTTCATTCAGTGCTTTTGCATTATGTCTGTCTTCAGGACAGACTGTTCTGCACTCTCATTTTCCCTAACCCTCTCCTTCTTGGGTGCATGGACGAATTTCCAGCTTTGCATACCCACACACTTGCCTTTTCCTGAACGTACCCCCAAGACAGAAGCGGACGTGGCCAGGAAGTGCATGTAAATGTCAGGCAGAGCGGAAGATCCCTGCTCAGACTAACTGCTTTCACTTTCCTTACAATAAAGCAGAGTAAAGATAAGGCAGTATGCACTTGAGCCCAGAAACTCACCATGTGCTGGGTTGCATCCCCATAGAGTGAGCAGCAGGTCAAGGGAGGGGATTCTGTCCCTCGACTGAGCTCTGGGGAGACCCCCCCACTGCAGTCCTATGTCCAGCTCTGGGGCAACAACACAAGAGGGATGTGGATCTGTTGGAGTGAGTCCAGAGGAGGCCACAGAGATGCTGTGAGGTCTGGAGCAGCTCTGCTCTGGAGACAGGCTGAGAGAGCTGGGATGGTTCAAGCCTGGGGAAGAGAAGGCTTCTTAAGGGGAGACCTTAGAGCAGCTTCCAGTGCCCAAAAAGAGGCTACAAGAAACCTGGAGAGGGGCTTTGGACAAGGGCCTGTAGGGACAGGACAAGGGGAATGGCTTTAACCTGACAGAGGGGAGATTGAGATGAGATCTTAGGCAGAAGTTCTTCCCTGTGATGGTGCTGAGGCCCTGGCACAGGTTGCCCAGAGAAGCTGTGGCTGCCCCATCCCTGGCAGTGTTCAAGGCCAGGGTGGATGGGGCTTGGAGCAGCCTGGTCTAGTGGAAGGTGTCCCTGCCCATGGCAGGGGGTTGGAACTGGATGAGCCTTAAAATCCGTTCCTGAAGATGGGCTTGAGATGTGCACACTCCACAGGGAGTGTGTGAAGCTAGGAGCTCTTTTAGTTTCCACTGGTAGTGAGTCCAAGCCCAGGCTCAGCTGATTTACAGCATACATATATTCGTTTGTAATTTCAGTTTGTTTTTGCTGATGGAACTGGTGCTTCTCCCCCTGTCCTGCCCATTATTTGTACTTTTATTGGCTGTGTTGGATGACCACATTTCTGACTTTTGTTGATTTTCCTTTTAGTACATTCAACTGGACTGTCCCATTCTTGAGCTGGCTGGCAATTGTTGCCCTCTCCATGTTCACCATCATCCTGTATTTCATTCCACTAAGATATATTGTCCTCGTCTGGGGTAAGTAAAGTCTCTTTTAACTGTCTGTGCCACTTAGAAAAAACTGTTTTTGAAGGGATGACTTATATTGTCAGTACTTTTCTGTATTTATGGTCTTGAAGCTGCCCCATGATGGAAACAGACAGGTTAGTTAAAAATCACAGCTGCGTAAAGATTTAGGCCCACCTGCAAAATGCATTTTTCTTGGCTGGCATTCTAGACTTCATCATTCTATAAACATGTAGCCATGAGGATTCTTCATATATCAAAGCGTAGCTTTGTCTAGATATTACTCAGATTTATTTTCACCACTTATACACAGATAGAGGCATTTCAATCTATATGATGCATTTAGGACAATATGCCTTTTTTACTGCAGTACTTCATCTTCTGAAACTGTATGTAAACATAGCAACAAGAAACCTGTGTAAAGGGTCACCTTTAGTCAAACAGAAAGGGTGTTGATAATGAACAGGAACTGGGGGACATTAGGTAGGCAGCAGGGTGAAATCATGATTGATCCAAGCTCTCCCTACTTGTCCTTATGTTTATTCTTTACATTGATTTTAAACAGCTACCATTACCACATCTGTCATAAACAGTGCCCCAAGTTTTAATTTGTATATTTTGTATATACATTTGTATATTGTATATACATCTTACACCACCAGCAGCTGTGCCCTTATTCCATGGTGCAGACTTGTGAAGAGCAGTGGTTAAATCTGGGGCTAGTTTTCTTTCTGAAAAAAAAAGGATAGCTATCGTGCCTTTGTGAAAAATTTCTGCATTTAAGAGACAACATAAAATCATTGAACTAACAGCAAAGAATGTAATTTTCATACATCAGTCAGTATAATTAACATTCTGACCAAGTCTTCACAAATAATTGTAGCAGAATATACAAAATGGAGAAGAACCAATAACGATGGTTTGAACAAAAGCATTTCTATGGAACTAAAAGAAGCAAGTGTGTGGGCTTACTGTCTTTGCCTGTCTTGGAATTTCACTTATTCCTCACATGCGCTGTATCACGTGCGTGCTACCTAGCACACACACACGCTATGGTAGGCTTCCTGTTACTGAAGTTTGAAGTACTTGGTCTATTATCCTTTTTGCTGGTGTTTTTTTGGGCAGATCTGGCATCTTGTACACTTGCTTTAATATATCGCCTTGATTTCATGCAAGAACCTGAGATTTTAATACCCACAAAACTGTAGTTAGCATTTTTTTATTAAAAAATCCTTGACATGGACCTCTGTGATACCCCCAGAAGGATCACACTCCCCCACAAAAATTTTCTTTTTCAGGCAAGGAAGAGCCTCAAATCCTAAACTGGAGTCCATGCTTCCCAAACCATGGATAGATAGAATAATCACAAATCACTGTAAATGCACCATGTTCTCTTCCCCTCCCCATCTCTTCTCTTCCTGTCCCCAGGTTACCTGGTCTATTTAGATACAACTTCAGGCACCTTTGTTCATAGAGTTTTCAGGTCCACATTTTCCTCCTTCATTTCAGTTTAGGTAGCTTCTTACTCGGCAAGCTTATGGGGATCCCTTCTATATTTTTTCTATATTTCTCTTGCACCATGCCAGGAGACCAGACATGTACTGCATAGCCGCAGTGCCAACAGCCCAGACCTCCCTGGGGTGAACCATGTTCACACAGAGCCATGTCATGCCTTAAGCAGCTGTCCCTTCAAAAAATGCATATTCTAAGCACATGCCTGTTTTCTCCATTATTGTGTATTTCTAGGCTCCCCTGTGTATATACATTTTTTCATACTTACTGCACTTGGAAGAAAATTACCTTTGTTATCTGACTTTTGTTCACAGGAAAGTTTGAGCTGGTCTTTAGCAGCATCACCCATTTCATTGTTTGGGAAGTCAGGGAGTTTTAAATGAAAATTCCTCCGTGTTATGGCTGGTCTTTCTTATAGCTGTCTTTCTTCTGTGCATCCATAGGGACTGACTCTTTCAGCCAGCCCTGGCAGGAAATTTTAGTTCTTTCCCTCCTGGCCATGCTTCTCGGTATGGAGACTACTAGTCCTTCAACACGTGGTACATTAGCCGCAGTAGAGCAGGAACTGTCTCTGCACTGTAATCTCATTCACTGTAGTGGTGGTAAAACCACTGGGTTTACCTCCTGGTAAAACGTCCTGGTAAAAGTTACAGTTGTTTATCTGGAAAAGACTCTAAAAGAAATTATTTTCATCAGAAAATTTCCACACTTTGGAAAAGACCTAAACTTCTTGTTGTATTTTACTTCTCTGGTAGTGTCCCATCTCATCTCGTCGATGCTTTTCCTTTCTGAGCCTTGATCATGATTTATTAATGCATTTAATTTCACAGCATGATTGGTACTTTATCAGGTGGGACAAGGTGAGACCACATCACCCATAGGTGGTCCAGTGGCCACGTGCAATAAACAGTGGGTCAGATCTTGAATTTCTCAGTCACTTGCTGATGCAAAGGACCCTCTTAAACAAGGTTTTCTAATCTCAGATATTCCTTCTCAACACTCACTGTTCAGTCACAAGATAAAAGGATGGCAGCATCTCCAATCTATACCACAGAACTGAGAATTCATGAAGTGGGAGGCTGTAGGTGTTATTAAGACCCCAGCTTGTACTCTCCATCCCAAAGCTTTATGTCCTTGCTAAAGCTTTCCAAAAGGCCTTGGCGCCAAAGACTTTGTGGAAGGTAAACTGTATTATCTTATCTCTGATACAGCCTGGATAAATTACACAGGATGGCACATTTTTAGTGCTGCCCTGGCTTTCTCGACTCACACAAGAGTCTGCACAGTTTGTTCCATTCCTGTCTGTGCTTCAAATGTGTGTGTGCAGAGCCCATGAACAGTGTTCTCACATGAAAAGTGTATGAATCTGACCCAGCATGTAATGATAAGAAAATTAGTTTAATTTAAAAACCTGCTTTCTGCCTAGGTTGGGGAGGATTTTCTTTGTGCTTCTGAGCAGTAATTTTCAATAGGCATTGTAAAACCATGATGTCTGAAGAAGATACCACATCCCTTCTCTGCACTGTCATCAGCTCACCTGTATTTGTCATTCCTGCACAGAGGCTTGTGTAAACTCATTCTAAAGCCTTCTCCTGATGCAGACTTTGCTGCTTCCTGTGTGCTTCACCATCCTTAGCATTAGGAAGATTTACTTGTGTCTGACCTGAGTCTTCTGCCCTGTAGATAAGCTGTTAAGCTCGTTACTGCTCATCCTCTCTGCTACAGAAATGGAGTATGCTTTATTCCTCTCCTTTTTGCAACCTCCACATAACAACCACAGTTTCTTTTACTTAAAAAAAAGAAAAAAAAACTGAGGAATTTGAAAATGTGCATAGAACTTTTGCATTTTGAAGCAGAGAGAACCACAGCAACAGATTACGACTTTTAGAGCCTGAGTTTACAGTTCATTCATTCATTAATTCAGTGCTAATGTCGAAGTTACTTTAAAATGGATCCTAAAATCTTTTTTAGAACTTTGCCAAGGAATATGTCGGTTTGGGTTTTTTTAATAGTGATACTAACATGTGGACTTTCACTTTGTAGGTATCAACAAATTTACAAAGAAACTTCGAAGTCCATATGCAATTGATAACAATGAGCTACTTGACTTTCTATCCAGAGTTCCTTCAGATGTGCAAGTGGTGTGTATATTCTTAAAGTGTCCTTATGGCTGTTGATTTGATATATAGCATCATGATTTTCTGGGTTTTTTTAAACACATTTTAAAGCAGTTACTTTGATTCAGTGTCATATACTTTAGCACAGTATTGTATTCTTTAGCAGAGAAATTGCATACTCAAGGTGGGGAGGATCTGTGGACATTAAGGAGGTTGCTATGCCTTTTTCCAATGAGAAAGTTGCCACTACCTTAGTTGTGCCTTTGAGAATTCTTTGGAGCAATGAGTAAAAAGACAAGTAGATGGGTGACAGTAACAGGTGCTAGTTTGTATAAAGCAGCCTCCAGCCTTACATGAAAATGTCTGGAATAAGGCTGAACGTGAGCCACCTTGTGACCAGACAGCCAAGAAGGCCAAGAACATCCTGGCCTGTATGAGCACCAGTGTGGCCAGCAGGGCCAGGGCAGTGAAGATCCCCCTGTGCTGGGCACTGGTGAGGCCGCACCTTGAATCCTGTGTTCAGTTCTGGGCCCTCACTACAAGAGAGACTTTGAGGTGCTGGAGCAAATCCAGAGAAGGTCAACTGAGCTGGTGAAGGGCAATGGAGCACAAGTGTGATGAGGAACAGCTGAGTCTGTAGAAGAGAAGGCTCAGGGGGTACCTTATCACTTTCTACAACTGTGTGAAAGGAGGATGTAGCCAGGAGGTGGCTGATCTCCCAAGGAACAAGTGACAGGACCAGAGGAAATGCCTCAAGCTGCACCAGGGTAGATTTAGACTCAAGATTAGGAAAAACTTCTTTTCCAAGAGGGTAGTGAGGCCTTGGAACAGTCTGCCCACAGCACAGGTAGAGTCACAATGCCTGGGGATATTTAAAAGACATGTAGATGTGACACTTGGGGGCATGGTTTAGTGGTGGCCTTGTCAGTACTGAGTTTACAGTTAGATTTGATGATCTTAAAGGTCCTTTCCGACCTAGCTGATTCTATGATACTATGATTCTAAGGTTTTGTGTAGGAAACCTATAGTAGCCTTTCAATACCTTATGAGGGGCAACAAGAAGGCTGGAGAGGAGCTTTTGACAAGGGCCTGTAGGGACAGGACAGTCCCTGGTAGTGGCCAAGGCCAGGTTGGACAGCACTTGGAGCAACCTGGTCTAGTGGAAGGTGTCCCTGTCTGTGGCAGAGGGTTGGAACTGGATGAGCTTTAAGGTCCCTTCCAACCCAAACCATTCCCTGACTCTGTATTACCTGACACCTCACCTTCAGTCACCACATTTTTAAGACACTGTCATTTGTTTACAAATACTCAATATATCATCTCTAAAGTCTACCTGCTGACATGAGTCTTTACGTATGCATGGAGAATAGGTCTGAAAGTAATTGCTTATGCCTGAATGGAAATTAGGCTGGGGATTTTAAAATATGGAGAAAACCACACAATTATTTAAAAATTGGGTTTAAAAAATAAAACAGGAAGGTCAAAAGGCAAAAGGAGATGCACCGACACGGAGTCAGTGGTGGGTGGCTTTGTCTTGCGTCAGCACTGTGAGAGCATTTCAGCCTTCACTTTCCTAGGGTGAAAGTTTTTGATGTGGCCACAGTTCAGCCGTGCACATAAACTCCTTTAAAAATAAGCTGGTTGTGAATGATAAGCTTTTGTAAGTCAGTACACAATCTCTTGAGGAGGTGCAACCGTTAAGATAATGTCAGGCCCATAAATCACCTCCGGTATCACAAGGATTATATACTTTCTACATTTCTAGGTAGAGGTTTCAGTTTAGAGCTGGTATATAAATAGGAGGTATGGTTGCACATACACCTGTGAATCTCATCCCCTCTGTGGCTGGCCTTTGAAAATAAGCAAGTTTTCAAGAAATGTTACAAAGGCTATTCATCCAATTAAAGAGAATAATGTTTATTCTCTATTAAAGCTCATGGAAAAAACAAAAGATGTAGCCTTCTTGAACTCCACTTCAGCACATAGTGTTACCTCCTGGCAGGATTTTCCTAATGCTGTCTTTCCTTCTTACTCCAGATCTATCACTCTGTTGCTGTCGAATCACAGCTACAGATCCCATTTAGTTTGCTGGGGGATAGTTTTCATTTTCTTTCAAAAAACAGAGATCTTTCTTTTTCTAGCACATATCACCTAACTAGTTTATTTCTGAATGTTGTGTTTAAACAGGTGCAATACCGTGAATTGAAACAGGATCCCAGTCACAGCCCGAGCAAGAGGAAGAAAAACAACCCTGGCTAGACAACTCAACGTGTTGAAGGGACAAGCATCTGCTGGGGGAAGATAAAAGAAAAAGCCTAAAGCCTAAGAAGTGTTTCCTTTCTCTCTTGAGCTTTTTATTTATTTTTCCTTTTTACCTAATGGGGAGATTTTGTAAATATTGTAAAAAGGCATTTCTCATTGAAGATATATTTCACACTGTAAAGACATTTGTCGAAAGTTTGAAGTAGGGTTTCCGCTTTTGAAAGCCTTATTAGATGCAGCATAACACATTAAAGGAATCAGTCTAAAATGGTAAATATGCACAGCTACTTAGTGGTCAAAGGTACCTGAAATACTCAAATCATGCTGACTAAATCTGCAAAAGGTGTACATTTAAATCTGACTCAAAAAATTCAGTCAGATTGTATTTGTGAACATTAATATGTTTATCCAGTAAGCCACCATTACAATTTTCTATGTTTTATATGTTTCAACAGAAATACAATGTAGTGAACCGTACTGCACTTAAGTTTTAGCAGATTTTTTTGAACTCCAGACACTATGTTCACTCCTGGTGCGATGTTTTCCTGTGCAGGAGGACAGCTTATAAGGTAATGAGAAATACCAAGTGCAAATCTCTTTCTGGAGCTCCCAAAAGGAGTTCCTGATGTTTTTATCATTCCATTGTAAGATCTAAAAATCTCTGTCTCTCTCAAAATACTGCCAGGTTTGTAACTGATTGCCTATCTGATTTTTCTATATGTACCGGTAATCTTCATTTGTACTACATAGTTTAGTGAATAAAGTTCATAATTCTGTTGTAATGGAAGTACTATCAAACTAACTCCATATTGCTATGGTGTCATGCTATGAACACCTTCTGTGCACATAACTATTTTAATATGGAATCTTGCAGAAAATGTTTTTGCTTTCAGATCACATCAATATGCTTTATGATATAGCACATTACCTGTTACCAATGTGAAATATAGTGTAGAGGAAAAAATGCAGTTGTGATAAAACTGATGTACTGGTTTTATTTCCTTAGCTAATAATGTATTCAATTCATCTGATACAGTTGTGCCCTACTGCATGGAAACTGCATTATTTCATAAATTACGTGGAACATAGATGGGAAAGTTTACATTTCAAATGTCTTAGTGGCCACTACATAACGAGTACTTGGGGATATATTCTGGTAGCTGCATGTAGACTTCCATGCTCAGCTCCCCGTGTAGTGAGCAGACTTCATTCCTAAGGGACTACCTGTGCACAGCTCTTAGCCATAGTTCCCGGTGACATGAAAGGGGATTTTTGCCCCCGGGAGAATGGCAGGACTGCATCCTCAAGGGGATCTGTTCCTGTGGTCCTGTTTGGGTTACCTCTTGCTGGTTACAATTGCTGATAAAGTTATATTGCACTACTCTAATACTTTTTGAAAAGACTATTTAGAAATACTTTGCAAGCAAATGTGTATATATTTGTGTAAAGAATTGTATGTTAGCTGCATTGCCCATGAAAGGTCATCCTGGATTTGTTTATTTTACAGATATGATGATAGCTGGTTTCTGATGTGACAGTTATTTTGATCCTTCTGTTTCTATCTTTGAGAAAATGCCAATCAAATAACTGTTCTGCAGAAAGTCTTGGACCTAAATATGCTCTTGTTGCACCATGACTGTAAAAGAAGTGAAGCTTGTGTAACCTTCTTTTCATTGTATGCTGCCTGAAGAGCAGCATACAATTGATAAAGTCAGAATCACTGATGAGCCTATTTTGTTTTTAAAAAAGCCAGACTTTTGTCTTGACAATGTGCAAATGTTTGTTGCCAGTTGTCAATTTTGCAGAGTTATTTGATACACTGTAAGCCTTGTACCTTCTTAATGTTGCCCATCGGTCTGTGTGCGATTTCCTGTTGTGTTTCTTTTTCTGTACTCAATTCCAAATGTCTGCTTTGGTGGTAAAGTCTGAGTTGGTTACACACATCTCCTGCATTAAACACATTTTATGCATCTCTCTACAAGCTATTAGGAAGCCTCTTTCTTTGAAGCCCTATGCTATTGTTTTCCATGAGTGGTGCAAAGGACAAGCAAATGAAAACATCGTATATCTGTGTGTGGTATTTCAGTATTATAAGCCTCAAAACATAGAAGTGGATGGGTCAAGGGGAGAAAAAGACTTGTTTGTGGAAAACTGGTGAACTACTTCTAATGCCATAGTAACTCAAAACTGGTATCACTGAAAATACAACGCAGGACTAAGAGTGCATTTTGGTTAAATGCGACTCTCCTGCTACAACAGGACATTTAAAAATCACATTTTAAACAATTTTTCAGTAAATCCACTTTCGCTATTTGCAGTTTGTCTATTCTGCTTTGTGTGGGAGGCCTCTGGAGAGAATCAGTCCTGCCTTATGCTGTGAATAGTTCAAGATTTCATTCCATTTCCAGATTTGTTCTGAAGTCAATTTCTAACCTGCTGGATTTACTGAGTCTTATACCTAAGCAACTTCTCAGTTCATGAGCAATCAGAAAAGAATAATGCATCTCATGATCATGAAACTTTATCTGCTCTCAGAAAATAACATTTAACAACTTAATTTGAGTCCAGGGAAAATCAGTAACTTAACTGGGGTTCACACTTAAACCAGGTGTCAGAGCTCTTGGGATCTACTGAGGCTAATTGTCTAAGAGGTTCTAGTCACTGATTCTGATGATAACTTACAGTACAGAGCTTGTTTACCCCGATTTTATAGTTGTTTCTTTTTGTACTAAGGAACAACTCGGTGTTTTTCATATTAGCAGTGAGCTTTAACTTGAAGAGCTACTGTAACTTAGCATTTTAAACCCAAGTGGAATAAACACTTCTATTTTTTATTGCAATTAAGACAACAGTGGAATAATGAGAAAGTAATTAAGCAGGCTGCATATAGTATATCTGGCAATATCTACCAACAAGAGGAAGAGTTGCTGGACCTGCCACCAAATGAACTACATGGTGCTGAATTATTTCATTCTGGGGTAGTGCATGAGCACAAAGCAAAGAAGAGATAGGAATAGTTAGTTCTGTCGTCAGCACTAGATCACATGCCTGCCACACAAATGTAATAAAACCTTTGCAGCTCTGTGCCCATCAGTCAGGGATCCCTGCCTCATGGGAGAAGGGCAGCTACTACCTGTGCCTGCTCTCCCTCAGCTGCCAGAGCCTTTTTTAACAGGCACAAACTTCTTTCTGAGTGTGCTTCTCCTTTGAGGGCCAACTTCTTCCTCCCAACTGGACTAATTTCAAGATGCTGTGCAGCAGCTTCTATAGAAGACAGCTCATCTCCCCACTCCCCCACCAAAACTGATATTGCAAATTTTCAATAAATACCTCCTCCTCCAGAATATTTCTGAAATCTCGCAAAAAATTAAAAACCAAAACGTTTTATAGCAAGCACAATTTCAATTATAGCTGTTTTTTGGTGTAAATACCAGATTTCCATTACTTTCTTCTTAATTAAGCTATAGCATAAAAAGAAGCGTAACTTCTGACTCTCAAAGTGGAAACTACTCCAGATAAAGTGCAAACTTCAGACGTCAACCTAGAAAAATGTGCAGGCTTTAACAAAGTATACTGTTTTCTATTCTGTCACTTAGGGAAGTGGGTGAAATCCAACTGATGCAGTTGGTGAATCAGTTACAGGGAAGCAAAAGGAATGAGAGCGAGGGGCAGCCTAGAGAATGGCTTGTAGACAGAGAGAAACATTCACAAGGGCTCACCTCTAGGCAGTGATCTCTGCCTGCACCTGGTGGGGAAAGAAAAAGTCCTTCACAGCAGAACCTGTGTGGGTGTCCTAAAGCACCTTGGCCTTTGTTGTGAATAACACATCCCTTCCATCAAAAGCAGCCTTTTTCTCTCAGGAAAAAAAGTACTGCAGCTGCTGACAGCCATGGAAGATGTGAGCAAGTGTAGGTCAGGTCCTCAGATCAGGAGGCTGGATGCTGCAAAAGGTTCTTTCACGCCATACTTAACCAAAAGAAGGCATGTTTCTCATACACTAAGGATTTTAGATATTAATTTAAAAAAAAATCCATAAGATGTCATATGGCAAAATACGAAATACATCATAGCTATGTGTTGCACAGCACACTGTATTTCTGGATGATGTCTTCTTTATGCTCAAAGTGAGATTTAGCCTACTTCAGAGAGGACAAATTCCGCATCAATGAATCTTGAGGATCAAACTTGTATTTCTTGAAGTTTAAAATTGAGTTCTTTTAACAAATGGACAAAAAAAATGTATAATGTTTTTCTCCTCATCAGCCTTAGTACTGAATTAAATTTAAATGTCAAAACCTTTTTTATGGTTCAGGTTGCACGACATAGAAGCCTGAAACCCTTAGTTATGAGTCACCGGTAATAAGTATTTTCCCATTATAATATAATCAAAAGTAGCTCAAAACTTCTTTTCTCACTCAACTTTTACTTAAATTACAGCAAGTGATTAAAGTAAAGCCTAAATGTTGATCACTGATACATATTTTAATTAAAGAGCTCTGATGAGTAATTTCTCAAGAATTCTAGTTAGTATTGCCTGACATGAAGACACATTCCTAGAAGTTTACATTTTGCATAGTTGTACATGCTCTTTTTTTTTTTTAAGGCATGTCACAAAAAAAAAAAAAAAAACAACAAAGCCTTTTAGATCTACAACTGATGAAAGATCCCCAGTCAAAAGCAGTATAGAAAAATCAAACAGTCTGAATGACTATGCAAAACCGTGGTCAAATCTGTAGAGAGCACAAAGCATTGGGCAGTTTCATGGAACAAGAGCTGCAACTTCGGATCTTCCCATCATTTCTTAGCACATGCCATTGTAATTGCCACAAGAATCACACCTTTGAAAGGCAAATGCATATACCAACCAATTATCTTGCTGTATCATGCCATTCCTAGGTATTATTGGAATAAAGGAGGAAAATGGTTCAACTAATCTGTAGCACTGCTAGTTTAGCAGAGCAGGAATGCTTTCCAGCAGAAGCTCCTTGGTTGACACTGACCTATTTTATGATGTGAACTGCAGCTCCCATGGGCTGCACTGAGCCTTTACCACCATCTCACTGAAAGGTAACTGAAAAAGGTGAATGGAGTGCTGGGAAAGCTCTTTTCCAGTGGTTTTTACCATGTTATAAAACTGGCCTCAGTAATTCATGGTGCGACACACTGACCAGTTCTTTCATTTGCAGAAAGTTACCTCTCAGAAAACAGCCTTCTTGGTGCACGTCTATCCTTGAGTTATGATATGCAGGAAGATTTTTCACTGCCTCCTGAACAAACATGGTAACAAAAGTGCAAAATCTTTTCCTTCCCTACAGGGATGATAGCCCTGGAACACGTAGCAAGCTTGATAAGCAGTTGCACTCATACTGGGAGGAGCTGTTGCTCATAGGCACAAAATAATGGCTTGATCAGAAGACATGGGCCTGGGGACTAAAACAGTTTATTCCCTCAGCTACAGTTCTGCTCCTCAGGCTGAGGATCCCTGAACACATCTGTTGAGGAAGGGGGAGGAGAAATGGGAAGGTATTGGGTTGCTTAAATAGAAAATTTACTCATAAATTAAATTACCATTTCTTACAGGATTATTTATTTATTTATTTATTATTTGACTGGGTTTTATTTAAATGAGAAAAGTCCTTGTGCTCTACATTTCTAAAGGTAAATGTCTTACTTAGAAGAAAATTCAGTCAGCACAGCTCGCTGAGGCAGCATACAGTTTTGGGAAGACTGGGTGGCGTCTTGGTAAAGAGCTGGGGGAGAATTTCAATGGATTACAAGACTGAAACTAGCCTGCTTGTATTTTCCCTTAACAATATAAACATGTCCTTTCCCGTGGCATACTGATGGAGATCCACAGCTCAAAACTATAGTTACATCTACAGGCTTCTTTCCAGATACAGCCCCATTTTCTTCTTTCCAGATACAGCCCCATCTCTTCTCAACATCAGAGATTGTGCTTCCTTTTTTTCCACCTTGCCATGCAGTCCGTTGTGATCAAACTGAAGGATACAGCACCATATCTCTTCTTCATTTCCTAGTCACCGCCGATGCATGCAATTAAGCCTTACTGTGAAATCTCACTGTTTGCCATGTCATGCTCTCCCACTTCTCCCTCATTGTTTTTTGTTGGCTTCTTTCCCTTATCCACAGTTTCTATTCGGCTTATTCCTCTTCTTTTGGACCTAAGTCCTTGGCAATATGGTCACAGAGCTTCAGCTACTTGCTTTGCATAAGCGCTTCAGGTTTTCCTTATATATCTCCTGCCTCTGAAGTTCAGTGTTTGTTTGGTTTCTCGTCATTGCATTAAACAGTCATTCCTGTATTTCATCAGTGCTGCTCCTCTTGAGGCTGCAGTGGCTCACATCTAGACCACCCTCCTTTGATACACTACACCCAGACTTTGCGGACTCCCCGCTCCCTGGTTGTGATATATTTTGAAATCATTCCCCATGAAACTCAGTGCAGAAAAGAAGAATACAGGAAATGAAAATCCAGGTTTAAAGGATGAAAATGTGTCCTGGAAGATGTGTTACTAACTGTGTCTGCAATATACATGCACCTTGCTGTCAGTTACTTGCTTCTGAAGTATCTGAGCTTAATGTTCTGCTCCACTCCAGTTAGAGGATTTGGACCCGTGTGTCACTTGCATCACACCAGAGTGAGCATTCATTAAAAAAAAAAAAAATAAAAGAAAAGTAATATAAAGCCATGCCAAAGCAGAAAACCTGTACTTTAATCCTCTTTAAATATGTGGGGGGTAGGGTGTACGTTTAAAACTGGCAATTGCATCAACTATGTATTGTTTGGGGTGAAGGAAGATTGCTCTAATGAATTCTTCATCACTGTTCAATTTGCTGTTCTTTGTTAAATCCTATGATTCGTAATTAAATACAGGACTATGATTTTTGCAGTTTGGCTTCCTTCTCTTCAGGGTAACACAGAAGCTGTACTTGGACCATACATTTTCAGAACTAAAGGTGC